CCCAGAGCAATTTAGATTCAAAACTTCTGCAGAAACCCGGACGGACACAGCGGCGGACCCTGGTGCTACACCACCGACTCCAACAACCCCGCTGGGAAACTGCTTGGCCAGCTGCACCGGTAAAAAACTTTTATTATTGTTTTTGTGTCATTTCCAGTGTTTGAAAGTAACTAAGTACATTTACTCAAGTACTGTTCTTAAGTACATTTAAAGGAGCTTTTGTCCACTTTTAAAGGTCACCTATTGTCAAAAACCCACTTGTTCATGTCTTTTCTACATCAACATGTGCATCATCAAACCTTCATGAGGAGCAACTCCACCCAACCTGCAACCCTCTGGTCCCCACCCCGGCCCCTGCACAGAAAGGTACATTATTAGACTTTTAAAGGTCACCTATTATGCAAAACCTCTTCTTCATGTCTCTTCTACATCAACATGTGTCCCCCTCTGTGATAAAGAGGAACTCTGAAAAGTTTCAGGAAACAAAGATTCTCTCTCTTTTTGTCCTGATCCCCATTTTATATAAAACACTGTCTGTCCTTAAATGAGCTGATCAGATTTTGGCGCCTTTATGATGTCATAAACGATGTTTTGGCTTGTGTACCATTAGCCAATCAGCAACCAGGTAACCCCCCCCCAACACCCCCACCCTTCACACCGCTTTCCAACACCGGAGTACTTTTCCCTTTTAGTTCCGATAGTTTCCTGGGATTATGCGTTCACACCAAAAGAGAACTTAGATTCATGAGAATTTTGGTCCCCCTTTTCAGTCCCTGCTAGAGAGGTGGTACTTTCCTGGGGAGAAAAAAGTTCCAATTTCTGATTGGCTGGGCGAATTGCAAACCACACCCCCGTAAAAAAAAAAAAGGTTTTGTGATGCCGCCATTTTATTTCCTTGCATTACCATTATTAGCATTAGCATTAGCCCAGCGCACAATCGCAGAGAGACTAACTTATGGCAACAAAAAAAAATAACATGGGAGCGGTGGAGATGAGGAGGTGTCGGCGCTTCTGGCGATTTACTCGGAAGGCTTCAGTAGAAGCTGGGAGTCCCAGCAGCTTCTACTGAAGCCTTCCCCAACTCCGGGGACTTCCGGCCGGGGACTCCGGGTGGCAGTATACGCCGTGAAGTTGTTTGCGGCCTGCCAGTAAACCCAAAGCAGAAGAAGAAGAAGTGACGTCAGCGGCTTAATTTGCCTAATCCTTCCTCAGGGACTTATTCTGGTGTGAACGCGATCTGCTCTTTAGTTCCATGGGGGAACTAAGTGCTGGGAACTAAGTACGCCAAAGTACTTGGTGTGAAAGCGGCTATTGTGTTCTTTTTAACCAAATGTCTCTCAGAGGGGCGTGGGGAGGGGCTCCTTATTTTCATCTGAAGTAACAGACAGAGAATCAGCACTTTTGAAACAGGGCTGAAACAGAGGGGATTATGGGATGCTGCAATGATCTGTTTGGTGTTTGGAGCCAAACACTTCAGAGACATGTTTGTATATATCTGAGACCTATAATATATTGATGAAAAACAGTATAAAAGGGGACCTTTAAGATAAGAAGATAAGAAGTACTTTATTGATCCCAATTTGGGAAATGTTTCCATTGCAGCAGCATAAAAAAGACAAGGCATTGTACATTGGAGAAATTAAAAGACTAGAAATAAACAATCCAAAATGTAAATGTCTCAAATAGAAATAAAAAATCTACACGTGGAAATACAAATGAACCTTGTGTTCGTCACGTTTCTAGCCTGTTTTTATTCCTAATTCTCTGCTTGTTGCTGGGTCAGACTGTAAAACAGGAAATGGAGACACATACCGGGGCGTGACCTCCATCACCGTGCTGGGCGCGACCTGCCAGGCCTTTTTGTGTACAATATAAACAGGAAGATTGTAACTACTATACCTTTGTGTTCCGACCCATGGCAATATCAGTTAGAGTTAAATATCAAGAAAAATATTGGATATATTGCCATTCAATTTGGTAAAAGCAGAGGATGCATCTTACTGATTTGAGTAATCCTCTTAACTTAACAAAAACAGTCATTTCCAATGGATGCGATGACATGAAGCTCCCAGATGTTGTCCTCTTGTTTGAATTCATGACTGTTAACCCTCTCTTTGCAGCTATGAATTGTGGGACGCCGGTGATCAAACCGAAGCGTTGTTTTGGTCGGATCGTGGGCGGCTGCGTGTCTAAAGCTCACTCCTGTCACGGCCCAAACTGTGTCCCTGTGTGTCCCTGTTTGTTCCCCTGTGTGTGTGTGGAGGGGGTGTGGTTTCCCTTGCAGGCAGCAGCCTGATTGCACTCACCTGGCCGACCGGCTCAGCTGTCCCTCATCAATCCAATCAAGACACAGCATATCTACTCCAGTCTCCCAGCAACTCACTGCCAGATTGTTTTCTACACCAGTGGTATTGCATCCTCCTGGCTGCTCATTTCAGTTATCCTGTCTGCGTGTTATTCTGTACTTTTTGTAATTAGTTTCTCCTTGTACTTCCAGTACGATCCCTCAGCCATCGGCCACCAGAGCTTCCAGCCAACCTGCCTGCTTCTTCCTTCACCATACCTGCCTGCCCTGTTCTCAGTCCAGCCTGAACTGCCTACCTCCACTCCGGACCTCCATAGTCTCCAAACCCGCCTGAGTCTCAGAACAATAAACCTTTTAAACATCTCCGGTCATTGCCTGCGCCTGGGTCCTGTTTAAAACATAATCCTAACAGAACAATCTGGCCACCATGGACCCAGCAGGCTCGGACCCCAATTCGTGAGGCTCTCTCCAACCAAGGCGTCCTCGTGGGCCGGCATGACCAGATGCTCAGAGAGGTTATGGATAACCTTGCATCACTAGCTGCCAACGTAGCACAGATGGGACATCACCTCAACCTGGTTTCAACTCATCTTGCTCCGCCTGCTCCTGAAGATCCAGCTCCCCCACAAGAGTTAGCACCGGTTCCAGCCCAGCCCGCTCTCCCTTCACGTGAGCCTAATATTCCCACTCCAGAGCGGTACGCAGGTGCCTTAGGGACATGTAAGTCTTTCATAATGCAGTGTTCTCTTGTGTTTGAGCAGCAGCCGTCTACTTATGCTAACGACAGAGCTAAGATTTGTTATATGATAGGTTTACTTACAGGTAGCGCCCTAGCCTGGGCATCAGCTGTATGGGAGAGTCAGTCCAACCTTTGTAATTCTTATCCAGAGTTTGTAGAGGAAATGAAGAAAGTATTCCACCACCCCGTCAGCGGTAGGGACGCTACTAAACGCCTCCTCTCACTGCGACAGGGCTCCCGTAGTGTAGCCGAATACTCAGTGGAATTTAGGACCTTAGCTGCAGAGGCGGGTTGGAATGACACAGCGCTTCAAGGGGTTTTTCAAACAGGGCTAACTGATTCGGTTAAGGATGAGTTAGCAGTGAGGGACGAATCAGCTAACTTGGATGAGTTGGTCTCTCTAGCCATAAGACTGGATAATCGCCTTAGGGAGCGCCGTAGGGAAAGAGCCAGCCGATCTCCTGGGTCACTCCGGTCATTTCGTGGACACATGCCCCCAGCGCCCAAAAGAGGGTGCTCGCCAGTAAAGGTGGGGATACTGGTGAGCAAGGCTGTTTCTTCCTCAACCCCCCAGACCCGCAAGCCACTTGAAGCCACACTGTTGTTAAACCAACAGTCTCTCTCTCTGCCTGTCCTACTGGACTCTGGGGCTGATGAGAGCTTTTTGGATGCCCAACTGGTTGCCTCAGCCGGCATCTCAACTCAACCTCTGACAGCTCCTCTCAATGCTCGAGGTCTGAATGGGAAGCTCCTGGCACACGTTACCCATGTCACCGAACCCCTACATCTCGTCCTGTCCGGTAATCACCATGAAATGATTCAGTTCCACGTCATGTCCTCCCCTCACACACCCCTAGTTCTGGGCCAGCCATGGTTAAGACTGCATAACCCCCACATAGACTGGTCGGAGAATCAAGTAAGGAGTTGGAGTACCTTTTGTCACTCTTCATGCCTGCGGTCTGCAATTCCCCCAGCAGAGGTCGGTATTCCCCCAGTTCAGCAGGAGCCACTCAACTTGTCCGCTGTCCCTCCGGTTTATCATAGCCTGGGAGAGGTTTTCAGCAAGCAGCGAGCCCTTTTTCTGCCCCCTCATCGCCCTTACGACTGCACAATAGATCTTCTTCCTGGGGCATCTCTCCCATCCAGTCGCCTGTTTAACTTGTCCCGAACTGAGCGTGAGGCCATGGAGACATACATCAAAGACTCACTCGCTGCTGGCATCATAAGACCCTCTTCTTCCCCCGTCGGAGCAGGCTTCTTCTTTGTATCCAAGAAAGACCGCTCCCTGCGCCCCTGCATTGACTACCGGGGCCTTAACAACATCACCATCAAGAACAAGTATCCACTGCCCCTCATCAATTCAGCCTTCGAACCCCTACAGAAGGCCACCATTTTCTCGAAACTCGACCTCAGGAATGCTTACCACCTGGTCCGCATACGTCAAGGAGACGAGTGGAAGACCGCATTCAACACCCCCACTAGGCCATTTCGAGTATCTAGTGATGCCCTTTGGACTCACTAATGCCCCAGCTGTCTTCCAGGCTCTTGTGAACGATGTCCTCCGTGACTTCCTGAACCGTTCAGTATTTGTGTATCTGGATGATATTCTGATATTCTCACAGACCATGGAGGAACACACCCAACATGTGCAGCAGGTTCTACAAAGGCTCCTCGAGAACAAGCTGTTTGTCAAAGTAGAGAAATGCAAATTTCACGTGGATTCAGTGGACTTCCTGGGCTACATCATTGAGCAAGGTCAGGTGAGAACAGACCCAGAGAAGGTACAAGCAGTGGCACAATGGCCCAAACCTTCCACCAGGAAGCAGCTCCAACGTTTTTTGGGCTTTGCAAATTTCTATCGCCGGTTCATCAGAGACTACAGTCGTGTTGCCGGTCCTCTCAACCAACTCACCTCCCCAGCAATCCCCTTCTCATGGACTACTCAGGCTGAGGCTGCCTTCTCTGAGCTGAAGAGACGTTTCACCTCGGCTCCTATTCTTATGAATCCTGACCCATCTCTTCAGTTATTGTTGAGGTTGATGCATCCAACACCGGTGTGGGGGCTGTTCTATCACAACGCTCAGTCTCCGATCAAAAGCTTCACCCTTGTGCTTTTTTTTCCCGACGACTGACAACCTCTGAGCGCAACTATGATGTTGGCAACAGGGAGCTGCTTGCTGTAAAGCTTGCGCTGGAAGAATGGAGGCACTGGCTGGAAGGCTGTGAACATCCATTCATTGTGTGGACAGACCACAGGAACCTGGTCTACATACAAACTGCCAAACGACTAAACTCCCGTCAGGCACGCTGGGCATTGTTTTTTGGCAGGTTCAACTTCACCCTTACCTACCGACCTGGTTCTAAAAACCTTAAACCTGACGCATTGTCCCGGCAGTTTGCAGTGGATCAGGACCCCATAGTTCCTGACACCATAATCCCTGCTACCAGAGTGGTGGGCGCTGTGACATGGGAGATTGAGAACTCAGTGAGGAATGCACAGAGAGACCAGCCAGATCCAGGAAATGGTCCAGATAACCGTTTGTTTGTACCTGACTCTGTCCGCTCACAGGTTCTCCTATGGACCCATGCTTCCCGCTTTGCCTGCCACCCGGGTGTGAATCGGACCCTGTCCCTCCTGAGACGACACTTCTGGTGGCCTTCCATGGAAGCGGACTCTCGAGCCTTTGTGCTGGCCTGCACTGTCTGCGCCCGTAGCAAGTCTTCACACCAGGCTCCTATCGGTCTACTCCAGCCTCTCCCAGTCCCTAGTCGTCCCTGGAGTCACATCGGCCTAGACTTTGTTACCGGCCTCCCGGTTTCACAGGGTAACTCAACCATTCTCACTATTGTCGATCGCTTTTCCAAAGCGGTTCATTTTGTGCCTCTTCCTAAACTCCCCACAGCCTCTGGAACTGCTGACCTCCTAGTCAATCATGTGGTCCGGCTTCATGGCATTCCAACAGACATTGTTTCCGACCGAGGGCCACAGTTCATATCTCAGGTATGGAAAGCATTCTGTCGAGCACTTGGAGCATCTGTCAGTCTCTCCTCAGGCTATCATCCGCAGACTAACGGGCAGGCCGAAAGAGCCAATCAGGACCTTGGAGCTGCACTTCGCTGTGTCACCTCCCGGAATCCCACCTCCTGGAGTTTACATCTGCCCTGGATTGAATACGCTCATAACTCACTGTCTAGTGCTGCCACCGGTATGTCCCCATTTGAATGTTCTCTTGGATATCAACCCCCTTTGTTCCCAGCCCAAGAGGACGAGATCGCAGTTCCCTCTGTCCAAGCCCATCTCCGTCGTTGTCGGAGGATCTGGAAGGATGCCCGCTCTGCCCTTCTCCGCTCCGCTGAACGCAATCGGCATATTGCAAACCGCTACCGGACCGCAGCTCCCCAGTTCCAACCAGGTCAGAAAGTTTGGCTTTCATCTAAAAATATTTCTTTACAAGCTGAGTCTAAGAAGTTGAAACCACGCTTCATTGGTCCCTATGTGATCGAGCGCATAATCAATCCATCTGCTGTTAGACTCAAGCTGCCTCCCTCCATGAGAATTCACCCTACCTTTCATGTGTCCCAGTTGAAACCAGTGTTTTCCAGCCCTTTGTGCCCTCCAGCCATCTCCCCTCCACCCACCCTTGTTATTGATGACCACCCGGCCTACACGGTCCGGCGGCTGTTGGACATTCGCCGCCGGGGCCGTGGGTACCAGTATCTGGTCGATTGGGAGGGTTATGGTCCTGAGGAGAGGAGCTGGGTGTCCCGCAAGCTCATTCTAGGTCCCTCTCTCATTCGGGACTTTCACAGAGACCACCCAGACAAGCCTGGTGGTTCGCCTGGAGGCTCCCGTTGAGGGGGGGGTACTGTCACGGCCCAAACTGTGTCCCTGTGTGTCCCTGTTTGTTCCCCTGTGTGTGTGTGGAGGGGGTGTGGTTTCCCTTGCAGGCAGCAGCCTGATTGCACTCACCTGGCCGACCGGCTCAGCTGTCCCTCATCAATCCAATCAAGACACAGCATATCTACTCCAGTCTCCCAGCAACTCACTGCCAGATTGTTTTCTACACCAGTGGTATTGCATCCTCCTGGCTGCTCATTTCAGTTATCCTGTCTGCGTGTTATTCTGTACTTTTTGTAATTAGTTTCTCCTTGTACTTCCAGTACGATCCCTCAGCCATCGGCCACCAGAGCTTCCAGCCAACCTGCCTGCTTCTTCCTTCACCATACCTGCCTGCCCTGTTCTCAGTCCAGCCTGAACTGCCTACCTCCACTCCGGACCTCCATAGTCTCCAAACCCGCCTGAGTCTCAGAACAATAAACCTTTTAAACATCTCCGGTCATTGCCTGCGCCTGGGTCCTGTTTAAAACATAATCCTAACAACTCCTGGCCGTGGCAGATCAGTCTCCGGAGAGTGATGTACGACCATTTGTCAGAATTTGATAAAGATCGGCCAAAAAGGAGACTATTATCAGTTGTCTCTGACTAATATAATTAAGTATTACACAAATGGGAGGCCATGGAGGCGTGTGGTGCAGTGGATAGAGCCTTGGTATGGGGGTCAGATGGTCACAGGTTCAAACTCCACTGCAGTCAGCATGTTGTTGTGTCCCTGGGCAAGACACTTCACCCTAAATTGCGCCTGTGGGGATTGCCCACAGTATTGAGTATGTAAGTCGCTTTGGATAAAAGCGTCTAACAAGTGACATGTAATGTAATGTAATATAGTTAAAGTGGACCTATCATGCTATATTTGAATAATATAGTGTAGGACCATACCTATATTAGGCATATTTATACTTTTTTTTTTCAAAATACCAAACAGATCATGCATTTTAGCCATGCCTCATTTCGCTCAATTTGCACTTTTTTTAGCCCTGTTTTTGCAAGGGCAGATTCTGTGAGCAACAGCACCACCTACAGGCCTGGCATATGTACTACAGCGTCTCCAGGGCTTTCGAACGGCAATGGCCGTGGCTGCCTCCTCCTGATTGGTGGACTTGGCCCAATAGCCGTAGCGCCACCGTCCTGACGTCAGTAAAGTGTTCAAATCTGGATCAGTTTTTATCAGATCCGTTTGCAGCCCCTTTTTTTAGAGATTTGGGTATGGAGGAAAATAGAGAGGGTTGTGTTTTCTGACACTTGGTGAGTTCCCTGGAACACTGGGGACACATATTCATGTATAAAAGACGTACAAAAGTGCATTTTGCATGATAGGTCCCCTTTAAGTATTACACAAATGTTCTTGTATTATATTTTCTGCTTTTTACTTAAAATGTCTGTTAAAATCCATGTATTTAACAAAATCGTATAAGTTAAGGTGTGTTATATTATTTGATATAAAAAAAGGCCATACCATTTAAAAAAAGAGGAATGGTTTGGCAAAAACCAAAAGGTACCATGGGGTCAGATTAGAATTTTCCAAAGGGGGGTTCCTTTAGCATGAAACACTTGAAATATCTAAAGGATAAGTTAAAAAAGAAAGTAGAAATAAAGTGAGGTCAAATTCATGTACCTTTGTTATTCATGTTTTATTATCTTTGCTTTTAAATGAGTGTTTTTAAATGCCATTTTATACTATGTTTCTTAATGCTCTTAATGTCTTTCATTTTTGTAAAGCACTTTGAATGGCCTTGTGTTGAAAGGTGCTTTATAAATAATCTTGCCTTGCCTATATCTCTCTTTTGTCCTACTTTAACACATTTCTGTATTTTATTCTACCAGTGCAGGAGGTCATTTCTGTGGAGGAACTCTGGTCCACCCTCAGTGGGTTCTGACTGCTGCTCACTGCCTGGAGAGGTCAGAGAACATTAGTTTAAAACATTTAAAGACTAAATCAGGGGGGTCCAAACTACGGCCCGGGGGCCAAATGCGGCCCTCGGATCATTTTGAATCGGCCCTCAGCAAATTAAAAAACTATAATGACTAGGAAGTATAATAAACTTCTGCTTGTCTTACAGTATATTGTACTTCTTAAATATATATGTTCAAATATATTACACAGTATTCATGTGTCAATAAGGCCACTTTTCAAATAAATTCAGTCAGTTAAAGTTGAAAACATCTAACAAATCTAAGTTGATAAGAAAAAAGCCCAATAACAAATGTACATAACAACCTTGAAACACACCCTTCATATTTCCTCTTATTATGAGTAATCTGAGGTTTCTGTTTTAAGGGATGAGCTGTTAACAAAATAAATGAAACCCTCTGGAGAGCTATGATGTAGGCTGTTTTTTTCTAACAGCATTTTCAAGTATCAAGAATAATTAATCTACATTTCATTGATTTTGCTAACTTATAACTGAATTTATGAGGCGATATATGTACCTCTAGTGAGTGGCCCAGCTCTTTGTATAATTTTCTGTATGTGGCCCTAGGTGAAAAAAAGTTTGGAGACCCCTGGACTAAATCCAATGATTGGATTACTGAATGTTTATCAATGTGTTGTTCAGGTCAAAGGACCCTTCAGCCTATAAGGTGCTGCTGGGCGTTCACACAAAGCGAGCCAACGAGGCGTCCAAACAGATCCGTTGGCTGGAGAAACTGATCCCCGGACCCAACAGAGCGAACATCGCTCTGCTGAAGCTGCAGACGTGAGTCTATCAACCTACTACCACTACTAATACTAGTTATAGGGGTTCTTGGAAGTTAATTTACTCAAATATGGTATTTTACATGACATTATATATCATTTAGCTCGTGATTTAAACCAAAGCGACTCACAGAAAAAGTGGAATAAAGCATTATCATACAAACTCAGATTACCAAGTGCAATATATTTAAATAATCCGAACCTTTTTGAGGTCTTTATACAGAAATGAGAAGCTATTTATGATATTGGCCAAGGTGTAATAGATATGTTTTCTGAGATGTGTTTGAATATATTTCCAAAACTGAAAACTGAACATTGGTTGAAGCTAGGTTCAACATCCTTGTTTGTTTCTATTAAAATTAGTGAATATCTTTTCTCTCCGTCCATCAATCAGAAAATATTGTTAATTAAAACCTTCAGAATATATATAGAGATGAAACAGATAAGTCTGATGTATATAAGTGCTACTATAGGAGAGATTTCTGGCTCACAGTATAAATAAAGAAAACAATGAATTTAGGAAAACCTTTAAAGGTATACATATATCGTGCAAAGTACTACAAAGTTGTTCTTATGAGCTCCCTCTTTACCAGCTATGGCAATAATACACATTGATGCTTTAATAATAACATTAGTCTGTAGTGGACCGTACTGCATGATGACTTGTTGCTCAAGTGACACTTTGAATGCACAATTACTTGTTACACCGTGGTATTGCTATGTTTCACTTCTTCCTCCTGTGCTGTGTTGTGTGTTTTCAGGCCTGCAATAATAAATGACAAAGTGCTGCCGGTGTGTCTGCCAGAGAAGGACTTTGTCGTTCCCAGTGGAACCGAGTGCTATGTGACCGGATGGGGAGCAACTCAAGGTACTGCATGTGTATTTCAATCAGGAGAGACTTAGTTCGTTTGTTGATAACATGTATTGCCGTATGAACAATAACGTTTTGGAGATTAGACCCCATCATACTGTGATGAATTAAGGGGGAGGAGAAGCCAAATAGGAAAGAGAAACCCCCCGGGGTCTAGACACTGGTGGTGGTGAAGTACTAAAGGGAAATGAAATCTGGAGTGATGAGGGTTCTTCTGGGCTAGCCTGGCCTTGGGTCTGATGAAACTGGAGGTGGAGGAGGGTTGCATCGATTCTCCTGAACGATGCTGGCAGGTGAGAGAAAGAGCAGATTTAAACGTTTGCCGGGTGTGCTGTGATTGGCTGTGGGGATGAGACGCAACCGGTTGGTTTAGCTGGGGGTATGTTGCGCCCTTGCTTATTGAAGAAAGGGCGAGTGAGTGAGAGAGAATTGTGAATGAGAGCGTGGGAACCAGTCTTCCTGAAAGAACTTGCGCTGAGCTTCATTTAAACGTTTTTGTGCTGTGATGTCTTTAAGTTTAAGTGTGTGTATGTGTGTGTGTGTGTGTGTGTGTGTGTGTGTGTGTGTGTGTGTGTGTGTGTGTGTGTGTGTGTGTGTGTGTGTGTGTGTGTGTGTTTCAGTTTCAGGGACAGGGGGTGAGGGCATTCTGAAGGAAACGGGTTTCCCTGTGATCGAGAACAAGATCTGTAACCGTCCCTCGTACCTGAACGGTCGAGTCAATGATCACGAGATGTGTGCCGGAAACATCGAGGGGGGGACTGACAGCTGCCAGGTATGATTGAAAAACCAAAAAAACACATGGAAACATTTAAAAAATCTGCATATAAATCAATTTAGTGTTGTGCATTGCTGTCTTTTTGTATAATAATGTTATACAGTTATGTTAATTTACAAGAAAATAACTAAGATCTTAAATGTAACTTTACACTAAAAACTTAATTATTCTCTGAGATTAAAGCGTGTTAATCTAAATGTATATATTTGCAAGATGTTTCAGGACATGGAGGTGTTTTTGTCATTCAAATTGTTTTGAATGTTTGTAAATATCTGCTGCTAACATCCCCATATGTTTATCACTATGCAGAGCTGGGAAGTAGTGGAGTAAAAATACTTTGTTACTGTATTTAAAGGGGACCTATCATGCAAAATGCACTTTTGTACGTCTTTTATACATGAATATGTGTCCCCGGTGTTCCAGGGAACTCACCAAGTGTCAGAAAACACAACCCTCTCTATTTTCCTCCATACCCAAATCTCTAAAAAAGGGGCTGCAACGGATCTGATCAAAACTGATCCAGATTTGAACACTGTCCTGACGTCAGGACGGTGGCGCTACGGCTATTGGGCCAACTCCACCAATCAGGAGGAGACAGCCACGGCCATTGCTGTTCGAAAGCACTGGAGACGCTGTAGTACATATGCCAGGCCTGTAGGTGGTGCTGTTCTGCCCTTATCTGCCCTTACACAAACAGAGCTAAAAAATGTCAAATTGAGCAAAATGAGGCATGGCTCAAATGCATGATCTGTTTGGTATTTTGAAAAATAAAAAGTATAAATATGCCTTATATAGGTATGGTCCTACACTATATTATTCAAATATAGCATGATAGGTCCACTTTAAGTAAATGTTTCTGGTATCAGTACTTTACTCCACTACTTATTTTTCTGATGACTTTTTACTTTGACTTCTTACATTTTGAACCCAAATACCTGTACTTTCTACTTCTTACATGTTGAACACAAATACCTGTACTTTCTACTTCTTACATGTTGAACACAAATACCTGTACTTTCTACTTCTTACATTTTGAACCCAAATACCTGTACTTTCTACTTCTTACATGTTGAACACAAATACCTGTACTTTCTACTTCTTACATGTTGAACACAAATACCTGTACTTTCTACTTCTTACATTTTGAACCCAAATACCTGTACTTTCTACTTCTTACATTTTGAACCCAAATACCTGTACTTTCTACTTCTTACATGTTGAACCCAAATACCTGTACTTTCTACTTCTTACATTTTGAACCCAAATACCTGTACTTTCTACTTCTTACATTTTGAACCCAAATACCTGTACTTTCTACTTCTTACATGTTGAACACAAATACCTGTACTTTCTACTTCTTACATGTTGAACACAAATACCTGTACTTTCTACTTCTTACATTTTGAACCCAAATACCTGTACTTTCTACTTCTTACATTTTGAACCCAAATACCTGTACTTTCTACTTCTTACATGTTGAACCCAAATACCTGTACTTTCTACTTCTTACATGTTGAACCCAAATACCTGTACTTTCTACTTCTTACATTTTGAACCCAAATACCTGTACTTTCTACTTCTTACATTTTCCAAACAGGCTGGTTCCTTTAGTTTGAATGTGTGTTTGGTGGCGTGATCATTATTATTTAGAGTCATTGCGTGCCTATTGATTTGAACACGGTCCGTGTATCCATCATTTCCTGGTCTTCTCTAAAGAAGAGGGACCAATGAAAACGTTGTCATGTTGCCGTTGTTCAGCATGGAAACATTCATTAGCTAACAATGACATTATTGTTCTATTAATATAAAGGGAGGTCAGGTACTCTTTAAAACAGATGGTAGTTATGGGTACTTTTTACTTAAAGGGGACCTATCATGCAAAATGCACTTTTTCATGTCTTTTATACATAAACATGTGTCCCCGGTGTGTCAGGGAACTCACGCAGCGTCAGAAAATTAAACCCTCTCTCTTTTCCTCCGTACCCAAATCTCTAAAAACGGGGCTACAACGGAGCTGATCCAGATTTGCGTCCGATATAACGTAATATCTGAAATGTGGACCCACGGCCCTATCAGAAACGTTGCTATCAGAAACAATGCCCGACTGTTTTGGACGTAATATGGTCGGTGTTTACATTAGCATCGCTAACACTCAGAGCTAACCTGTACTGGAGAGCATGTGTGTGAAGAAGCAGGAAATAAAAAGGAACTCACCTTGTGGTATAACCGGCAAGAGAGAAAGCCTTTGAGCTCCATACTGTTTCAGAAATAATCCTTGATAATCCATGATATGGCGTTTCATCACGGCAGCATTTAGTTTAGACAGTAGCTGCCGGGTCCCGCATGAGCTCAGACCCCTCCTTTTTTTTCACTTCATAGACATGTTTTTTATATATTTTTATATATCTGAGACCTATGCTATTGCCTAAAAATAGCATGATAGGTGACCTTTAAGTACATTTCAAAGCCCATACTCCTTTACTTTTACCTGAGTAAAGAAGTTTATTCAGTACTTCTACTTTTACGAGAGTATTTTTAAACACGAGTATCTGTACTTCTACTTGAGTAAAGGATGTGTGTACTTTTGCCATCTCTATGTTTTAAAGCCGATCTTTCTCCCCCCTGCAGGGCGACAGCGGCGGCCCCCTGGTGTGTCACTCTCAGAACCGGTACGTCCTGCAGGGCGTCACCTCCTGGGGTCTCGGCTGCGCCAACGCCATGAAGCCCGGCGTCTACGCCCGAGTCTCCAAGTTTGTGGACTGGATCGACACAACCATCAAAGCCAACTAAAGAACATCCAGCAAATACTGAACAACAACAACAGCATCGGTCGCACAAAAAGTGACTTTTCATCGTGCTTTTTGAAGATACTTTAACATGTTCGTACTGTTCTGCTCCAACAGAGTTTGTAGTCGGGGGTTATCGGTTATAAAAGACGTGTTTTATTTCCTGTGGTGGAAAAAATATAATAAGCAAAGGATGGGATGTGAAGCTGTGATTCTGTGTAAGAGCTGAACAATAAAACCTAATACAAAGGGAATTGTTAAATCATGGTTTATAGATAGTTAAATAAAACAAAAACTGTTCCTTTTTTTGGCGTAATGTTAATAAATCTACACACACACACACCCAGATAAACACACACACAAAGGCACACACACACACGATTACACACGACACACACACACACACACACAGCGTCACACAGTTGTTGAGTTCTTGTTGTTTGTCAGGTCGGATTTTAGAGGCTTCTTCAGTTGTTGGTTCTCCGTGACATCCGTCTTTTTCCTGGGAGCAAAAACACACAAATTATATTAAATTAAATACAAAATAATAACACTGTTTTAATTTCTACATTTTGAATCAAGGATTTCAATGTTAGAAAGATGAATCTCTCATTCAGGTTGTATTACATTCAGATAATCTTTCTCACAATTATTGGAAGAAAATAAATCATACAGTACACATGTAATCCCTCTTTAAATGTAATTTTTAAAATAGCTAAATCAATAAAATGACAACGATTATAAACATGTATTGCCAGCCGTTCAAAGTAACCTATTATATTTACAAAAGATGTACTTATATCGTATAATTATGAGGTATTTCTATTTTCTGTAACTTCTGCTCTACCTTCACGGAGCGTCCACACAGCAGCGCTAAAAAAACGCTTCATTCACTTTGAATGGGGTGACGTCACTTTGCCTCACTTTTCGCCGAACTGCATTGTGGGAAGCAGAGCGGAGATTTTCAGGATTTTCAGGATTCAAAGTTGAGCAATGTTCAACTTTTGAAGCTGAGGTGGAAGCGGCAGCCAATCAAATCCCGTTTATGCAAATCTGACAGTTCAAGCGCTAGCCAATCAAACCGCGTGTAAGCTGGGAGAGACATACCGCAGGTCATTTCCTCATATTCCAAAAAATGGAGGAGAAATTAGCGGTAGGGAATCACCCGGTGCTTTATGACCAGTCCCTATTTACCTACCGGGATACAAACCGGAGGAGCCAGGCATGGAGGGAGGTGGCAGAGACAGTGGTAGGTTTTCGCCTGTTTGGGGATTTTATATCCAGTTTACTTCGGGCTTTTTTGCTTCGTATGTCGGGGGCGGGAGATTCATGTGATTGGTTGTTGGTCGCGTTGCTCGCAAAAAATCCCCAAGCTTCAGATACGCCCACCTCCAAGATTTTTTTAACGCTGCTGTGTGGACGCTCCGAGACAGAAATAATCACTTATCTACACGTATCTACAAATGTTGCGTGGTCAGCGTCCTGCTGTATGGTTCCGAGGCGTGGTCAACTTACGCGCGGCACGAAAGAGAGCTAAATGCTTTTCACATGCGGTGCCTGCGCAACATCCTCAGGATCACATGGCGGGACAAGGTCACGAACGAGGCGGTGCTGGCGCGTACGGGCAGCAAGTCAATGTTCCAAACACTGAAGGTCAGGAGGCTGCGGTGGCTCGGTCACCTTCGCAGAATGCCAGATGGCCGCCTGCCAAAGGACATCTTATACAGCGAGCTGAGCGCTGGTTCCAGAGGCAGAGGACGACCACTGCTGCGCTTCAAGGATGTCGTAAAACGTGACATGAAGGCCCTGGACATTGCGACGGACAACTGGGAGAGGCTGGCGGAGGACCGGACGAAGTGGCGCCAGCAGCTGTGCGAAGGTGGTGACAGACTTGACAAAGACTGGATTCGTGGACTTGCTCAAAAACGTGGACATACTGTATCTCTCTGATTGCACTGTACAATCTCTTGTAGATTTTCTTGCCAATATATAATATGACCTACTGCTATAACTCTGACTACGCAACACAAACTAATTGTTATTAGTCGCTCTCTAAGCTAGTGCATCATCGTCTAAAAGCATAGCAATGTTTAATAAAAGATGTATCACTTGTTAGGAAACTCGATGTCGTCGATGGTCTCGGGGAGAGGAACTCCTTTAGTTTCAGGAAGCAGCAACACCAATCCTCCAGCTATGAAGGCAAGCACTCCTGTTGGATAGAAAACACTGAATCAGTTACACATTAAAACAATTATATATCTACAAGCTATTTTTTAGGAATATCTGGTGGTTTTATCTCAATGTGTCGGTTGAGAACAGGTAACGAGGGTCCCAAACAGACTTTTTAAGATGCTAACGATTTGCAAAAGGTCACAAAACGAAAGGCAACTAATAAGCCAATTGCAATCATTTCAGAGCTAATGAGATGTATTTATAAAGGTTCTTGTTTAAATGAAGATTTACAAATTGGGTGTAATGATAGCAGCAGGGAATGCACAAGATTGACATTTAAATGATACTTGCTTCACACTAATTATTGAAAACACATCCCCCAAATTAGGAATGTTAAGCAAAGAAACCAAATAATTAACTTAACGAACATAGCATAAGGAAATCAGGCTTGGGTGTATTTCATCTGCTCGATTGTTATTCTCCTATAATCTCACTAAATGCCATGTTTAGTTCACAACGATGAAGGAAAGCCAAGCTAAAAAGAGCTGAAAGTATATTTCATCTCTTAAGTAAGGCTTCTAGGATCCATAACACCTTAAGGCCGCTACACACCCACCTGAGACCAAAGAACGCGTACCGAAGGCGTCCCGACTTTTACGTCAGCTACGTCGCCTGCGTCGGCTACGCCGCCCGCTACGCCGCCCGCTACGCCGCCCGCCTACGCCGCCCGCCTACGCCGCCCGCCTACGAACACACCGCAAATACTTCAGTCGACGAGTGGCAATAACTGTCCTTGCCAGCAGGCAGCGGTAGTGTGAACAGCCAATCAGAGTGATTGCTTGGGCCAACTTTCTCTGACCTCCCGCGGGAGGTGTGAAAAGGTGCCGTAAAGAGACGACGGTGCGGGACACACCAACCTGAGTAGGGCGCCGCGAATGCCCGACTGCCTCTGACGGCCTCTGACTCCCAAAATCGGGTTGGTGTGTAGCCAGCTTTAAGTCTATCTCCTAAAGCCTTGACTGCACGCAAAAATTGTCTATGAATGTTGTTCTGTTTCTTCTCACAATAGTGTGATCAGGACAAATCACACATGACTAAATCACACTGACATCTGATAGTTGAAAGATAACGATATCTCAGCGATAAATCAGATGTCAAAAATGTACTGAGTTTCTCTCCACCACAAACAAATCTCTTCTCTTTGTTCTCTGAATGACCTCATGTTTGTAAGAAGTGGTATTAATCCATCTCATGTATATGTACCTTTACCTCACATTTCTGGCGGCATCACAACCTACCGAAGAGGATGAGAGGCAGATCCAGCCAGACGGCAGCCAGCCTGTAGAGCAGGAAGGGAGCCACGATGCCTCCAACGTCACACATAGTCGAACACACCGACACGCCCAGGTTCCTGAACCCATCACTCAAACATTTAGCATGTAAACTTTATAAAAGAACGAGCTATATGAGAGTAAAAGTAGAGGGGATGAGTGTGACTTCACCTGACAAACGTTGGGTAGAGCTCAGTGTTCACAAACACCACCATCTCATAGGCCATGGTGATCCCCAGCCGACCGATGCAGGCCACCACCGTCTTGAACCAGAACATGCCTGCAAGCAAAGAGGATTTATTATTTATTAAAGTGGACCTATCATGCTATATTTGAATAATATATTGTAGGGCCATACCTATATAAAACATGTCTGCGAAGTTTTTTTTTCAAAATACCAAACAGATCATGCATTTTAGCCATGCCTCAATTCGCTCTATTTGCTGTATTCCAGCACTGTCTTCACAAGGGCTGATTCTGTGGCAAATGAGCTGCAGCTGACCACGCCCCCCTGCAAAGGAGGGGGGCGAGGCACGAGCGTCATGTTACCATGCTGTTACCATGCTGTTACCATGCTGTTACCATGCCACGGCAACCTCTCATTCCCCTGATAGGTGGAGCGTTGCCCATATAGGCGGAGCGTCACCGCCCACTATTCCGGGCTGACGTCAGGTCGGATGGAATCTGTATCCGCTCGTTGTAGCCCCGTTTTTAAAAGATTTGGGTACGGAGGAAAAGAGAGAGGGTTGTATTTTCGGACACTTGGAACACATATTCATGTATAAAAGACGTACAAAAGTGCATTTTGCATGATAGGTCCACTTTAAGTTTTTTGCACGTATGCAGAAGTACTACTACCAAAATACCACATAATATATTGTTGGAAATAAATACACACATAGCCAGGGGTTTGGGGTAGAAATATTGCAAGAAGAAACTCAAAATGTCCTAGATTTTAGACAAAAGAAACGTATATATATATAGTGCTGAATTTACCAAAAGGAAAGCACAAATTCACAAGAAAAAGCTGTGGTAAGTCTACGGTCAAATGCAAGTTTACAAGAAAAAAAACGTGTCCTTTCTGAGGTTCAAATCTTATACATTTGCACCACATTGAGTATGGCATGAGTCCACAAAGAGTGATATTGAGGTTAGTGAAGTTAGTAAAAGGTTCCTCTCACTGTCAGGGATGAAGGCGGTGATCAAACAAGCGGCTCCAGCCACGATGTTGGCGGAGGCGAAGGGGATGCGTCTGCCGATGCGTTCGATGGTGAAGAGGATGAGGAAGGCAGCGGGGAACTCCACCAGGCCCGAGATCAGGAAGTCGATGTAGACGTTTCCTCCTGCGATCCCCACCCTCATGATGAGACCCTGATACACCACAGCACTGGTGAACCTGCGGGAGACAGGGAACAAGAAAGAGATGTCTGATACGCAGGGGTGGGGAGTAGTGGAATACAAATACTTCGTTACCGCACTTAAGTACATGTTTCTGGTATCAGTACTTTACTCCACTACTTATTTTTCTGACCACTTTTAACTTTTACTTCTTACATTTTGAACACAAATACCTGTACTTTCTACTTCTTCCATTTTGATCACAAATACCTGTACTTTCTACTTCTTACATGTTGAACACAAATACCTGTACTTTCTACTTCTTACATGTTGAACACAAATACCTGTACTTTCTACTTCTTACATGTTGAACACAAATACCTGTACTTTCTACTTCTTCCATTTTGAACACAAATACCTGTACTTTCTACTTCTCACATTTTGAACCCAAATACCTGT